TGCTATGTTCACATTACTGCCAATTTTTCTGTAATTTCTACATTGCAAATTATACTTGCAATTGTTACAAATATATGTAGTTTGAATAATAATTATAGCTCAAACATTAATTGAATTTGCACGAAAATTACATTATCATGACGATTTGTAACGTTACTCGTACGTGGTTTTGTTCGAAGATGAGGATATAGAAGTGTATTTCCATTATTATCAATTTATTAACGTTTTAACTTTATGACTTTCATATCTTTACGATTTTCATAAATTGTTAGCTGTTCTCATATTTATTGTAAGACAGATTATTTAAAAATAATAATTGAAAAATGTCTTGTTTTTCAATTGCTTTTCGAGGATCTGTTCATATAACATTTATAAATGTTATGTTAAACAATTCAGAATTTCTGTTAGCTATAAAAATTCTAAGACAGCGATTTGCATAAGCGAGTTCGCATTGATCTTTTAGTAGAATTGTCTTCTTTACAAAAAGGTGTTCAAACATCCGTTATAGCAAGTATTGGAATTCTCTTTTAAATTTTGACGAGTTAACAGATTTAATGTTGTGTACTTGTTTTTAAGAATGGGTATCATCGCATTCCTAATTAGAGAAAGGTCAGCCTCTGTTTCTTATATTATATTATTGTTCGCGTTCTGACTATGGCTGCATAACACAATCTATGGATGTATCACAATTTCGTTACTCTTGATTATTGTGTTATTTCGTTATGCTGAATTCCATGCATATTAATTGTCAATAGATTTATTTTTACACTTCACGAATATTTGAAAAGCGAATATTTCTAAAGACACTAAGTTTTTTAACGACAGAACGTTTTAAAATACGTTACACGTATATATACTATATACTATATACTGTATACTATATATATTGCACCAAAATTTACGTAATGTAGTTATCAAATTCTACAGGAACGTTTGATGGGAAACAAAACATACAACGTGTTTAACGTAGTATTTTCTTAACCATAATAGGGATTTTTCTTGTAAATAATTTTGCGAGTCAACACGAATTTATTTCGTATATATAGCGACATTTGTAATTGTTCAAATGATTTCAAATGCAAAAAAGAATGTAATTTTACACTCGCTTTACACTAATTTTACACTTAATTTTACACAATGAAACAATTTCCTATGATTACAATGTAATATAATATTGCTTACTGTTAGACAAAAATCATTTTCTAATTTTTATTTGAATGGCGTTTAATAAAATGCGTATTCTTCGATTATATCATACGCTTGTTTCAATTAAGCGAGTCTTATGTATTTTGAGAGAGAGAAGCGTTTAATTTAAATTGAAGCGGAATTCGTTCTGCTCCATCATCCTTAGTCTTTGAGAAATCTAACTTTAATGTTAACTATTCTTTGTGCTTTAAGAGCGTGGACGGTATACTAATATTCCTTCTCCTCAAAAATTGATTAATACAAATACATGCTCAAAAATTGTAGGTATTTTAACGTTTTAAACATTTCTAGAGTTGGTTAGCGAAATGTGAAATTTCGAGTATATGTGTGTGTTCGTCGTTCGTACTACTAAAAGTGTCAAGTGTCCATGTATCGATTTGTCTCGTGTACTATGTATAATTGTATTTCACCGAAATTACACTTAATATGTACATAGGGAATATAAAAATTTAAGAAACCAAAGGTTTGATAAGTCAGTTTTCTTTTATTATTCTGTAATATAAGATACATTGTTCGACAAACGATTATACAGACGTATAGTACTCAGCAATTCGTTTCTTGTATATTTACAGTGACGTCGAATGCTCTTCCATATCGCTGACTTTCTTAACTATTTACAAATTATTAATTGATGTTTATAATCACTTACACGATACCAACTGGAATCACTGTTTTGTAGTTTCCAAATGTTCTCTCTCTCTCTCTCTCTCTCTCTCTCTTTACCTCTCGTTTTCATTCGCTTTCACACATACTCTTTCGCCAATTTACATGTACCGTCATTACAAAAATTGGGCGCCGATATAAGCGATTTAGTGGAAAAATGTGAGAACGCTTCGAATTTCAGACGCAACGATTTTTCGGAAAAAGTTGAGAGACTGAGCGACACGTATTACATACGGAGATAACGAATGGAAACAGGTATTTTCATAAATGAACAAAATTGCACAACTCGGCGTGCGTTATATCTTATAAGTATGTATGACACTCTGCCGCCATTATTCAAGAAACTCATTTTAATCGACGATGTGCGAGAAGCCCGAAAGAAATATTTGTTCTCGTCTTTTCTTCTTTCGTCATTTTCTTAAACTCGTTCGATTTGTACAAATATCTGAGATGATTTATCAATGATAGTAAGGGTACAGGGAACTGTGAACATTATTATTGTTATCGTTCTTAGCCTAACGTTCTTAAGATCGGCGTAATTCTCCATTCAAACATCTCGTATTTTAAGAGAACGTAGCGAAGTTTAAACGCGACTTAGAGAGAGTGCTTTTTATAATAGAAACGATAATTTACAACATAGGTTCTGGTGTGTACCATTTACGACATTCAATTTTCTTTCTTTTGCTAGGAAACTGTTTTTGCGGATGAATGCGTGAAAAAACATCAACGTTGATGAATGAAAATTTCAATCGTTTCGTTTAACAATACCCTTAATTAATCCGTGTCTAATTATTCGTGTATTCATATTAGCTTCTACGAATTTCGAGAGAAATGCATCACGATATCTGCCATCGATGTGTGAAACATTGACATAAAATTTCATTAATCGCACACGCACATATATAATATGTTGAGTGAAATCGATTTGAACGAAAACGCAAATAAACAGAGACATTATTAGCAATGTCATTTGATTCGAGACATCGATCCTTCTGTACAAAGATTTACATTCAATGGAACGTGTAATATTATACTATAGTGAATCCTATATAAAGTGCACGAAAGTGTTTCTTTCAGAACGTTGATAAACTACGATCAGTCTGTGAGAAACTTTGATAGCACGTATTTACGCAAGTCCCACGCGACTTTACTTTAGACAAAAATGGTTGAGAGTGAAAATAGAAATTTAGCCCTAATGTGTCGACAGTATTTCTCTAACATTAAATGTTACATTGTCTATCGTTAATATTATACAACGTTCAATGTTATATACAAGGTATTATTAGAAAAGTTCAGCAACGCTTTGTCCGATACGAATATCAATGTCTGTTCACGACC